CAGCTCGCAACCTGCAGTTTTTAATAATTGAAAAATGAAAAGAACTCCGAACGCTTTTTTTATCTGATATGATATGAGACAATATTATTTTTACATCCATCATCTTCGTAAAACATTCAAAAAAATGTATGAAAATTATGTTTTGTTTCAATGTAAATTTTAATTTTAACACCGGTTTCAAATCTATAGTTCAAGGCACGATTCAGAGAGTTATCTTCTCATATCTCAATGCTTGATAAACAAAATCATGTATCTATTTAACCAAATTATATCAAATTTCGTCAATATTTAGCAAATTTTCTGATTTTTTTATCAAAATTTCCTTGAAACGGAACATTGTTTCCATGCATCTAAAAGAAATCGAGAGTTTTCCTCATTGATTCTCTAAAAACTACAGGTGACTAACTGTTGCCCTTGTCGAGTTATTGAGCTTACATTCGCTCCTTTCTAATTATGATGTGGGCATTAGAATGGTTTCATCAAAGAAAAATAAATAAACACAAACAAAACTATGGTAATAATGATTACCTCCGATTGTGACTAAACCTGAATCACTAACATGAATAATATGATTTCTTGCAATTGATTGCGTATCTTTTTTATTTGGATTAAGAACAAGTGGTCGAATACCAGACCATGCTGCAGATAGATCTCCACGACGTACTTGAATATCAGATGAAAGATAATTTTTTATTTCACCTAATATAAAATCGACATCTTCAGCCAATGGTGATGGATAATCAGTTACTTCACATGATGTATCCGTTGTACCTTTGAAAAACAAATATTAATAACATATGAAAAAAAAAACACTTCTATATTCCAACCAGCCATTGTATGTTTTTGCCAAGGTAGAAAAAAGATAACACGCCCATCAGATGTATTTGGATCAAGAAGACCCATATTATTTGGACTATAATAATCAGGTAATACAATATGAACACCAGCTGATGGATGACAAATTTTTGAAACTGATGGATCATCTAGTTGTCGAATAACATCTGTATATGGTCCTGTTGCATTAACAACACATTTAGCACGAATTGAAAATTCTTTATCTAAAATAGCAATAAATTATTTATTAAAATTCATTTTTCTTTCTTTTTTCTTGTTTCAACATACTTTGATATCGATCTAAACATTTAATACCACGAATGATTTTTTTTGTTTCTGTTTCTCCTTCTTTATTATTAACTTCAATGTTTTCATGAATAAAATCAGTAACAACACAATGATTAGCAACATTTGCTCCCATACGTGCTGCTGTAAATGCAAGTGCTATATTCATACGTGCATCATTATGTTGCCCATCATAATATACAATAGCACCAACAAGTTTTTCTTTTTTTAACATTGGAAATAATTCTAATGCTTTAGTTTTTGATATTAAATAAGACCATCGAAGTAATTGTCGACCTGATACAAAATCATATGCTTTTATACCAGCATAATAATATGGTAAAAGATACCATCTAAATAAAAAAAAAATACGATTTTATCAATGTTTTTTTGTTTTTCTTTCTTGTTTACTTATAAACAGGTAACATAATTGGTAATGGATATGATAAATGCGGTGCAATTTTAAGAAGATTACCACGTTCAGATAAAGCTTCTTTTACCATATGATACTAGATTTCGAGAATGGAAAAATTTTAAGTTGATAAAAATAAAATAAAACTATGATTTAATTACTTGTTCACGATCAAGTTGCATTATTGCTTTTTGTAAATATCGTACACCACCATGAATTAATTTTGTTGATCGTGATGATGTACCACTACTGAAATCATATTTTTCTACTAAAGCTACCTTGAGACCTATTGAAAATAAGAGAAAAAGAATAGAAAACTTCTAAAACTAATTTCAAAAATAAAATGAAATAAAAATTACCACGACTTGCTGCATCAACAGCTACTCCACAACCTGTAGCACCGCCGCCAATGACCACAATATCATATTCAGATTCTTTTGACATTATATCAATTTGAGCTTCACGTGATGGATAGTCATCTAACCATACGGTCGGTTTATGTAATGAATGACTTGATGCATTTAATTTATTTTTCTAAATATCAATAGTTTCCAAAGATAATTAGTCGAAAATGAAGAAAAAATAATTCAATTTACCTCGAGCATATATTGACCGAGAAAACCTGTACCTATAGCTGATGTACATAGAAGAAGGCCGTGTTGGATGAAACGACGGCTAAAACCACGAGGCATGTCTAAAATACAAATAACGTAAAAGAAAGATTATGGTTCTTTGCTTTAAAAGAAAATGTAAAAAATATGAAAATATTCTAAGGCCATATTCGATCTTAAATTATTCTGTTTAAGCAATAATAGAACATGCATTCAATGTATGTTTTGAGCAATAAATTATGATTGGTTTAATACCTATTAGACAAGTAGATGTCAGAACAATCGATGTGTTATCAAAAGTAATAAGAATACTGTATACAAACAAAATTGGTGATAGTGGCGCAGCCAGGAGGTGATGGTAGGGTGCCGAACTCCTTGAGAGGTCTTTGAGCCCTCCTATGACGGCACAATATGTTGTCACTTGTATTGTCATCTTCTATTTCTTTTAATGTTTGTATCCATCTCACTGTGTTCTTCCTCTCCCCTCTCTCTCTCTTGCTCACTTATGTTATCGTATTTCGCTATTATTATTCTGCTGTACTTGTTTTATTAAATTGACGTTAGAGAGCAAGAGAAGAATGAATACAGTGACTTGTATTTTTATGTTTGTGAATCTATGAATTGTAGAGTTATATTTTAATCTGAATATTATATAAAGGATGTCCTCAAAAATAGCACTACAACAAAAAAATTCAAATATCTTCACTTTGGTTCAATCAAATGGGCCGAATTTTTGGTTAGTGGTAGAACTTTATTCAAATTTTTTCCATACGAATAATGTAAGTAAATACTTCTATTGGGTATTATTGTTGACTTCACTAAAAAAAATTTGTATCTGTTATCATGTAAAATATATGTGCCGTATTGCATAGATAATTATTTTTAGTTGTCACCTAACAGAACACCAGAAGGAAATGAAAATAAACTTTATGAATGATACAATATCCATGCAAATAGATCAACTTTTCGGTAGTAGTTAGTTAATGGTGAATCATTCATAAAGTTTCTTTTGATTTCTTCTAGCTGTTCTCTTAAGTAATAACTGAAATTCATCTATAGAACACTTCACATCTATTTTTCTCACATGATAATAGATTAATTTTTTTTACTGAGGTCAACAATAATACTCAATAAAAGTATTTGCTTACATAATTTGTATGAAAAAAAATTCTGAAACCAAAAAAAAATTAGTCCAGTTGATTGAACTGGATTGGAAATATATCAGAATTTTTTATTGTAGTGCTATTTATGCGACACTCTGTAGTTGTAAAGCATACATCTTTACATTATATTCGTTAGCTTCGCTCTATAAACAAATCATCGATGGAATATTTATTGATATTGATTATCTGTCATCTAGCTTGTTACACATGTAGGCATTTTTGACTCGTTTTCCTCCTAGGATTGATATGAACTTTCATTAATATTGGAAGAGTATATTCATTTTCAGCTTTCGACGACGGTCTAGTCTTCCTTCTTCTTTACAAATGTGTTCTGGCTGTGCTACTGTTTTGTGATTGACAAAAGATGATTATTAGATTTTGTGACAATGTGATTTGTAATTCACAAATAAATGTTGACGCGAAATTCGTCTGAGAAAGTATCTCATGTCAAGAAAAAATAATTTGTTTTGAAACAGTAACAATCTGTTCCGCATTTACTTTTATATCTTGAGGCAAAAGAGAGAAATATTTGATCAATAAAACATTATATATACAAAAATTTTACTGTGAGAGAAAAAACCAGTCATAGTATTGTAAAGATTTGTTGTCATATTTTTACGGGCAATTCATATGTTAATATAAATGTGGTTTGACCTTCATTTGACAAACATCAACCATAAACATGTTTAGTTACCTATATTACAATGTTTGATGTATGTAGTGCTTTACTGTTTCAATATAAAAATAGGTAAACGAAAAAGCAAATTAGTATTGCTTACACTTCTGCATATATTTAACATAAATAAAACTTCTCGTGCAAGTATATTCACATATGCCAAGAATTGTAGATAATAAGATTGATTATGTGCAAAATTTTGAAACCAAATTTAATCAATAAGCTAGAATACTTTTGGGTTTGAATATTTTTACAATTCAATGCTCATGAATACAAGAAAAACAGTTACTTATGTCTTAACAATTGATCAACGTATAATATCATCAAAACTCATTGAATATTCTGTAGAAAATTATTTTAGAAGTATATCTAAACAAATAGCATATTAGACCATCGATCATTTTCAAACCACAAAAATATTCAAAGTACAAATTGACGATTGATATTTATTGAATAAGTTTAGAACTAATTTTTCTAAAAAAAAAACAAATCGAATTGATTTACTAAATATAAAAATACATGATTTCTCATTGTCTTGTTATAGTATTTGTCACTGTTATGACATTATAATAAATCAAATAAAAGGCAAACATTCGTGATCTTAAATTGAAGTTTTCACTTAGAAAACTTTCTATATTGAAATATGAATATAATTTGTTATATCATAAAAGATATCTAATTTTTTATAAGGTTAAATTTGATGAAAAAAATGCAGTAAAAAAGTTTATATTTTATTCTGCAAACAAAACAACTCATTTCAAACTATATAACATCAATATCCTTCTTCAATCGATAAAAATACAAATGAAAACTAAAGATTGTTTATGTTGAATTCTGACAAGAACTTACATATTCTTATTAATAAAAATACGAATATAAAGCATTGAAAAATATTTATGATCAAACAGAAAAAAAATTATAACACAATGATTTATTTATTTATGTTCTGTTTTTGTTGTCATGAAGCAACAATTATATTCTAATTGAATACTGTTTACACATGTTCTTTTCTTATTTGTTCACATTAATGAATTGATTAAACTTATCATCTTTTGAGATAATAGAGAAGAAATAAATATTATTAATGATATTCGAAAAATTGACGCTTTATTCCTCTTTTCAATAATTGTAATATAATTTTTAGTCTTTGTTGAACATTCATTTCTCCAAAATTGTACACTTGATGGAATAGTTAATTTTTTAATTTCACTTCGATTAACTTGTAAATGCATCATATATGCTGTAGATATATTACTAATCGGTGGCCATTCATCTTTAAATATAGAACTCATTGGTCGACCATATTTAATAAAACTTGACCATTGTTCTATTAATTGTTTACTAAATTGAATTTGTTCATCAGTATACATATGTGTTACATTACGATTAATTGTTGTATTTGATAAATATCGAACATATTTTATTAATGATATTATTGTATGATCAGAACTGTTTATTTTATGTAATAATGGTGTTCCCCATGTATATTCAAGTTCAGCAAAATGACCAACTAAATCATGCTTATGTAAATAATCATTACAAGGTGTTGGATGTTCTTGTGCTGTTCGATGTGAATATTGATATATGTATGTACGATTTGAATATTTTAAACGTTCTTCTATAAAACGATAATAATCATTATTAAATAAAATATCACTTATTAGACGAGAATAATTATAAAATAGTGAACAATAACAATCATATGATTGAGAACAATTTATTGGAGGATTATTAATATGATATCTATTAATGAATAAAAACAAACAAAAAAAAGAGTTAAATATTTAAATTAAAATTATTATTAAATAGACTTACAATTGTAAAGCTTTATGATATAAGCAAGCTTTATCTGGTTGCATTGCTGTAAGAAATTTTAACGCTATTGCAGTAAAATTTACATTATTAAGTGTTACTGAGTCTTGATTATTTTGTTCCATCAGAATAGGTACTATTGCAACATAAGCACCTAATATTAAAAAAAAAAAGAAAACAAATAAAGAAATTGAAAATATCCAATTTAAAATTATTTACCTTCATCATCTGTTGATCCCATAAGTATATCAACATTTGCTAATGTATCATTTTGTTCAAATACTTCTTGAAATCGACTCATAAAATTTCCATTAATAACAACATTTGTATGATTAGCACTTGTATATGAATGATGTTCTTGTTCAGCAATTGAATCAAAATCACGTTCTTGTAGACATTTTAATTTTTCATTAAATGTTGTCATATTTCCACATTCATTATCATTAACAACAATATTAAATTTTTCCATTGCATCTCGTGCTTTTAAATGTGACCATACATGAAATGGACTACCACTTTGTAATAATAATCGACGTATTCGTCCATTATTTAATGGTGATATTGCCAAATAATAAGCATGTGGTGCACCAGCCGAATGACCACCGACTGTAATACGTTGAATATCACCACCTAATGCATCACCATTCGTATATATCCAATCAAGCACTAATGATTGATCATATAAACCAAGGTTACCTTCTAAACGATCATCACCTGATGATAAAAAACCAAAAAGATTTAGACGAAAATTGAATGTTATAACAATAATATCGCCTACAGCAGCAAGTACAGTTCCATCAAATACATTGCCTGTACCAATTTGACCGGAACCACCATGAATCCACATAAATAGAGCTTTTTTTCTTTTGTTATTTGGAGTCACCGGAATAAAAACATTTAAAAAAAGACATTGCTCAGCAGGAATTGATTTAACAGAAAAAATACCATAATTAACTGAACAATATGGTCCTAAAGGATATATTCCTGTATTTCCTAAACATGTACCTGCTGTTGGTTTACATAAAGGTCCAAGTGAAGTTGCATTAATGATTTGATCATTTTCTCGTATAATAGATGTTGCTCGATCAAACCTTTTGTTAATTCGACCGTATTCAATTCCAAGATATTGTTGAACAATAACATTACCATAATTAGCTGTTTGACCTACATAGATACCCGACGATGTGTTCAGTAATTGAACAGCAAATGTTGAATCGAATATCAATGATAAAAACAGAACAATTATTGTAACAGAGAATAAAAATATGTTCCAAGACATAAACAACTGTAGTACATTTACTGTTGTCTAGGACTGATGTACTCTTCTTTTTAAGAGAGCAAGAAAGAGAATACAAAAACAACACAAATAAACAAAAGTATCTTTTAGAGCTTCGAAATAGTCAGATTGTTTCTTTTTAATCTTACTTCAGTTCTCTCTTTACTGATATTAATGTCAGTCGATTTGTATACAAATGACTGATATAAACATTAAGAGAACTTATTGCTTAGCCCGCCTTACTCGTTTCTATCTAACTCGATTGTATGTTCGTGCTAATTAAACCAAAAATCATTGTGTATGTTGTCAACAGATGTGATCTCTCGTCGGTGACCACCAAATATGAAGAGAAGAAAGAAAAAAAGAAGATTCAATTACATAATCTAACAAGTCATCATCATCATCATCGTTGTCTAATTGACATCTATGCCAGTAGTAGGAAGTGCCGATGATTATCTTTAGCATATCATTTTTTGTCAGAATTTTATCTTGATAAGTGATAAAGGTCTACGATTCAATTATGATCATTAAATCCAAAATACATTAAGTTTTTTTTTCTTTTTTTCTATACTCTCCTATCAACACTTAACTGTTACTATTGCTGTTCTCTTTTACTATCTTCATTCTTATTATTGTCAAATATGCAAGCAAAATCAATATAAAGTTTTGTCACTTTTTATTTATTAAACATAAAGTATGACAATATAAGATAAGGAAAGAGATATGCATGAATGAATACAAATGCACATATATAATAGACATTGAGAAAAGAGAAGATGAATTTATTTTCGCCAGGCAAGATGATACAAATAAAAATGACAAGAAGAAAATGTTAAATAAAACATAAAGCAAAATTCTAGAAGTACATGAGATTTAGTATCGATTTATCGAATGGTAATTTGCTGTTGTTGTTATTTATGACGATGAAATGACCACATAAGTCGCATCAAGGATCCGATGAATACGATAAAAATACAAATAAAAAAGAATCTTATAAAATATTCTATATAGCGTATTTGAGTGTTATTGCTCTCATGAGTTTCTTGTGGCAATGAGAGACTTCGATAAATTGCTTTTCGGAAGTTAATATGAGCAATACTATGTCGACGATTGACAATATCATTACTTAAAGAGAAAAAAGAACATCATCTTTTTTTTTAATTTAAGAACATTTAAAGAAAAATCAATTTGAAACATTGAATGAAAACCAAATATTGGGCTGCAGTTTTTTTTTCCAAAAGTCCGAAATAATTTGTTTCTTTTTTTATCACATGTGATGGAATCAAGACTAGTTTCATGTCTATTTTAGGGTTTACAGGATTTACTGTCCACGGATTTACTGTCCATTGATTGTTTTTCTTAGAAAATTGTTTTTTTTCTACAGAAAGTATAATTTTTGCTGCTGAGGATTTACTGTCCATTGATTGTTTTTCTTAGAAAATTGTTTTTTTTCTACAGAAAGTATAATTTTTGCTGCTGAGGATTTACTGTCCATTGATTGAATAACTTTTTTTTTTCAATTAGCGTTTGTCTCGTTTGAGGAATTACTGTCCATTGATTGCCTTGAAGAATAGAAATGAACAGAAAAATATTTAACGGAATCAACTATGTATATTTAGGAAA